TTGGTAACATAATCCGATAAGGATTGCGAAATTAGTGTTAAGCGTAATATTGAATTGTTTTGGTGCACAGTGGGTGGAAAATAAGCTTAACTTTATAGATAACCTATCGCCCTGCATACTTTGTTAATCCTTATCTGATTATGTTACCAAGTTCAGTGTCGATTGCCATACATACTTCTGACTCTTAAGCCCCTAATTATTCTGATTATTTTAATCGTCCTTTCACTCATACGTTTTTCACGTAATTTGATTTGACAAGTAAGTATGCGATCAGATTGCTTGAAATTCACTGCACAAATTCACCAAATTTCTCAGATAAAATCCGTCTTCCTCTAACAAAGCTATGCAGATTATTCTGGTCTGCCTGTTTTACTCAGGCAAATGTTTAGCACCAACTGATCGCTAAGGAATCGAGGTCGCTGACGTCCCATCTACTCGAAGTATTTCAGCTGGATATATCTGCATTCTATCTTGAGAGTACTTCTACTGCTAATCTAATTTTTAGCCCATTTGTATTGTTATTATTCCCCTGGGTCTCGGGTGGAAAGTGGGGCTTCAGCAGAACGTCGGCACCTTTTTATATTCTCTGAACTCCTCTTCAGCTGACTCCATGACTCTCCGTAGTCTCTCATCACCACCTCATGTGATCTCTTTTATGTAACCTCTCAACGCTTATTCGTCGTTTCCTATCCGCGTTACACTTGAAGGTCAGGTTGGCGCACTTTGTCCTCTGACGGTCTCTTCAACGTGTGTCCAACCCATCCGTATTTCCTCCCGCATATCTGTTGATTGGCTCGTTTCAGGAGTTTTTTGTTACTAATTCTCTCCACTGGAGACCTGATCTTCATCGAGGAGCGAAGAGGACAGCTGTTGACAAAGGCTCACTGTTAGAAGTGTTGTTTGTAACGCTCACATCAAGTTTTTGCCCCATGTAGAAGACCAGACTGACCTTACAATGGTGTTGAAAATCCGAATTTTGTTGTTTATACTGAATGTACACTGATTTCAGAGAGATGATGGTTTGTTTTGCCTTTCCGATTGCGGTTTTGACATCCTCATGCCTAGTAATAGTAGTGTAACGATGGCAGACAAGGGCCAGGCAACAGATCGTTTATTGAGAAAATCAAGCGATATTTATACATTTTATGTACATTATTATTCGTTATTGTTAGCGGAGAAGCAACGTCTTCTGATCGGTTTTTCTTGCTGAAGATTATTCTGTACTGCTTGTGACCGTTGCTTACAAAATTATCCATATATCTGCGAGTTGTATTCGCACACGTTAAGTCTGCTGTGATTGGTTGTTGAGTTACTCAAGGTTGGACTTTGTTCGTGTTTTATCTCATGACCCCGATTCGGGAAGTAAACGTGATCTACGAGCTTGCTCGCCTTTTAACCAGAAGCTCCTGGGTTCGAACCTGGATGCGTACCACTGAAGAGTCTTGAACTAGAACGAAACAGCTATCTGGCAGTACTCCCAGCTCGTTTTCCAATGGTTCTCTGACTGATGTCAGCTCATGATGAAATCCTCCAACCAATTCTTCAAAATGTTTTCACAACTTTTACAGACTTTTATCACAAAAAACTCAGTTACGGCAGTCAACCATAAATAATCAATCCCATCAAAAAATATACATCCAAGCGACCCTACGAATATGACCTTATTTAGCAGCACCTTGGTTCTTTCAGGGGTTGAATATTTACATTATTTTAAATTAAAATATTTACAATTCTTAGCAGCATAAATAAGCACTTCGTGCCAAAGAAAAAGGAGATGGATTCGAAACACCTTCAGGAGACTGTCAGTTGACATGCAGGAGGTCGCATGAAGAACAGATAAGAGCCTATGGGGAATCGCGGTGCCAGCTGAAGAGAACTGTAGAGAATTGGGTGAAATGGAGATGTGCATTTGGAGCCCAATATTCCTTTCTGCAACCCAAGGGAGTAATAATCATAATAATGCTTGACTCCGTTTCTTGCCAGTCTCGCAGTCAACCCTCTTTTTTCCTATCTCACTATACGCTAGAAAATTGTTCAGGATTTTTCTGAGAGCATCAAGCGGGAATCGAACCCTAACCTCTTGCATGGTTAGCGAACATTCTACAGTCACACAACTAACACAGTGGCCGAATGTTTAACAGACTCGCCTGGACTTTTTGATTTCCATCTCAAGTAGGGTGATGGGTGCGTACAGATGAAGAGTCCCCCCCCCTAAAAAAGGCGAAAAAAAGGCACAATCACTGCAGATATTACCACGTATATATTTGTCAGGAAAGAGTCGTACTGGTCTCACGTAGACAGTGCTATGATAAATAAAATATTATGTCAGTAGAAGTCGTCAATGCAGTCTCGAGATTTCACTAATATTTATTTCATATAGGGCGAATTGTATTTCTCAATGTAAGTTTAGAACTGGGGCACTGTGGTAGAATGTAATTCCATGTTAGATAAGTTTATTTAAAATAACACGCATTGATGACGTTACTAGCACAAATTATTGTTCATAATCGTATCAGTTTAGTCACATGGGTTCATAACTTATCTTGTATATGTATTTCTTTCTACCTCCCTCCTCCCCTTGTTGTTTCTTGCCACTTTCCATATCACCGGCATAGATGTTGCGTCATTTCGATTGCACATGTGCGGTGTTGAATCGATAAACAAAGCTTCAATGATTAACCTCTCCCTCCATATAACTGTATTACTTTTTAATACTCTCACCCTGTCCCACCCATTCTATTTTCTGACTACATGCAAATGAATGCAGTGCAATGGCTGTTTTTTAAGATTATTTAACTTAGCAAGGTCAGTTATTCTAGATCCAGCTGAATTTCTATCTTCCGATAATCTGACTGATCCCGATCTACTAGTTTGACCGACCTTTTTAACTGACCCAACTAACCGTCATTACGTGGTAAATGATATTATTAGTCTTAATTGGATCTGATATTCCTTCTTTATACAGCAGTACTATAGAGGCTTTGAATTCTATATTAATTTTGTCAGTTTACCAATCTAATTTTTTCTATGGTTCTTCACATATTTTTGAATGAATTCTGGTGGGTACTTATTCACCAATAATATTTTCCTTATTTGTCTGATTTCGTTATTTAAATCTTCTGACTTACTATATATGTCCAAACCAAGTTTACTTTCAACAGTTTGAAAAAAATTGGGCATTGGGTGTATGATATTCATTATAATAAAGGTTTTTTTGTATTTCCCAATGAATGAAAAACAAAACGTCTCTGCTCTATATGGAATGAGGACTGTTGAGGTCCATTCCATATAGAGCAGAGACGTCAGACGATATCAGAAGAGTACTCAACCAGCTCGACATTAGAGTTTTCTTCAAAACATCAGACACACTACAAAACAACCTTGTCCATATAAAAGACCAAATCCCGAAAGATTCTCTACCTAATTGTGTCTATAAAATAAAATGCCTGGAATGTGATGCGATATACATCGGACAAACATCTCGAGAAATCAAAATCAGAAGAAATGAACACCGTAGAGCATCTCTTCGACCACCGAGAAATCCGGTTGAACTAGAAAAACTTGAAAAATCATCAGCCATGCTATAGAATCAGGCCACAAAATTGATTTTGACAATATTGAAATAATCCAGAAAAAGCATTTCAGAAATCACAAAGAACGTCTAATATCAGAAGCACTTCATATCAAGTGGAATCCAAATTGTCTCAACTGAATAGGAATGATGGACTAAGACAGAATTTGACCTGGTTACAACACTTCCCTCCCCCATGAAGTGACAAAATCAACACAAATGTAATAAGCGATTTCATCATGTAAACACACGCTGTTTTTATAATTTTACACACTTATCAGATACAACGACCTACACCTGGCTTTGTTATCTCTACCAACTGGCCAATTTGACAACGGAAAAATTCCCCAACATGCTGAGAAATGATGATTAAGTTGTTATATATAAGCGGAGATTTTGTAAATTCTGGTTTAATAATACTTTGATAAAGCTATTAGCAGCATTAAATAGCGAAACGTCAGTAAAAACAATATCGTTTTGTTTTTCATTCATTGGGAAATGCAAAAACCTTTATTATTCTGACTTACTAGTTAGGCTCAGGGCCCGATTATACAGACATTAAACTAAACAAATCTTCCTTTACCAATTCTGCATAGGATGAAAAAAAGTCTAAGTATTTATTAGGGTGTGTCTACTTCCAACTAATGCTGATATATAACTCAACTTCTTGTTTTCGTTTTATTTTACAGTTAATCTAGCATGGCCACCACCTCAACATGTTCGTTTTCTAACTCAGAAGTGAATTGGAATACGTCTACTGTTGAACTTGTATGTGTGAAAAACTGAGGGATAAGTTCAGATTTCAAAACACAGTGACGGAATGTGTCATTCAAATATCTCCACCATAATCCGCCTAGTAGCAGGATTAAACCTTCTAAGAGCGTTATATTCCAGACTATCTATAAATATGCCTGCTACTGTTGGGATATATTTTTGTTGCATTTCTAACACTTCTGTTGGAGACACATTTTTCGAATATGCTTATGAGTTTCCGAAATTCCGATTTCTATATATATTTATGTATACTGCACACTGGAGATCAAATGGCCAGCCAGAAACAATTAGTAACAAGAAACCCCTACAACAGACCAACCAAGAGCCGATTGCTCAACAAATATGTAGGAGAATGTGGAGAAGGATAGCGCATACGTTGAGGAGTCCATCGAGTAAATTCGTGCGCTAGGTTCACGACTGCAACCCCAGTAGGAAGCGACGAGTTGGTCATCGGTGCTAGGGTGACATGAAGGAGATCGTGCGAGTTGGAGGAGATGAGAGATTATTGACAATCGTGGGACCAGATGAAGATGACAGCAGAAAGTAGAAGAAAGTGGAGATGTACTGTTGAAGACTTATGTTCCGCTTGAAGCCCGGGGGAATGATATATATATATATATATGTATTCAAAACATAAGACTAAGAGTGAACTTACCTCCACCGATTAAAACACAATTCATTGAACAATAAATCTCTTCATTTACAGTTTGAAATGCTGGAATCAACTTATCAAATCCTTTCATTGATTTACACTTGAGCCGATTCTGTAACAGTTCAGGATCAACTGGTCCATTTATACCGGATATAACACAACCAACGCCTTGATATGATGAAAAATTACGCTGCAATGTTTTTCGTTCTTTTGTCCATCCCCTGAAGGACAGTTTCGATAATTTTGTCTTTTGAGGTGCAACCACAACTGCCCTGCCAAGCAGTTCCACTTGTAGAACTGTAAATTATCAGAGAAAATGTGAAAGGAATACGTTATTATACGTTATATATGCATAAATATATATACTTGATAAAACCAGTGGGCTGATATCGTAACCAGTCCTTCAGGTTTCTAGAACAGATGAATGACGCAGTAAAGTATATCATAATTCTGTTAGGCTCGAAAATTATTAAATGTCTATTATTATTATTATCATTATTATAATTAATATTAATTGAATGTATTTAGGAGGCAACAGTCTATACTGTTTGTGTGTGCGCGCACGTTCGTATTTGCGCGCCAGTGGGACCTATACTATTTAAACAAGTAAAATCAATATTCCCCATTAAAATTCTATGACTAGATAGACGTTCAAATATATATTACAATCATGCGTTTGAAGTCACTGTTATGCAGGTAATAAACAATGGTGTTAACACTACAGTAAGTCAAATTAGAAAGAGCCATTTACTAAATTGCAAGCCATTTTGATTTAAGCATTTTGTGATATTACTGGAAAAAATAGGGAAAGTCTAATTTCACACAAACTCAAAGACTTACAGGCGATAAAAACAAACTGACTGAAGAGGCTGGCAGCGAATACAGAACTCCAAGTGAACATAGAGAAGACAGAAGTGATGAAGATAACCAACGAACCGTTACAAAACTGCAAACACTATCAATCACCGTCAATAGGAGAGATTTAACAGAGGTCAGCACCTTCACTTATCAGGCCAGAACGCACGGTTTCAACTAAAGGCGACAGCATGGATGATGTCAAAGCCAGTCAGAATCCGAAAAGCAAGATACGCCTTCATCAACCTGAAACCAATTCAGAAATCTTCCTTTCTCACTAACCAAAAGGAACAAGATTCGAATTTTCAACACCAATGTGAAGTCGGTCCTTCTATACGGGTCAGAAACTTGGCTAGCGTGTTACGAAAAGGATTTCCAACAGGTTGCAAACATTCATCAACAGCTGCCACCTTCGCTGACTGGCTCCATACTGAAGATCAAATAGACAGAAAGAATTAGCAACGAGAAACTCTGGCTGGGAACAAACCAACCAAGAGCCGATCTCTAAACGAATATGTAGAAGAAAATGGAGATGGATCGGGCATACTTGAGGACGCCGTCGAATGAATTTGCGCTTTAGTCAGACTATTGCTCGAGTGGAATCCACATAGGAAGCGATGAGTGGGTCATCGGTGCGAGGATGACATGAAGGAGATCGTGTGAGGAATAGATGAGAGAATTTGGGCAGCCGTGGACTCAGATGAAGAGGACAGCAGGAAACAGAAGAAAGTAGAGATGTGTTGTTGAAGCCCTATGTTCCACTCGGAACTCAAGGGAACAATAATAATAATAACCACCTTCTTGGTGATAAAGCACAACTTCAGTTCTTTAAGGGGTCGCTGAATCTGTACACTGCTATTTTCTTCCTATCATGCCAACTGTCAGTAGCTGAAAATTATTCAGCAGTGGATCTGAAGTCAGAATCAGCACCTGTTTGTTTGCGTGACTGATTATTATTATTATTGTAACCAGTTCAAATAATATTATTAATATTCCCTTGAGTTCCTAGTGGAAATTACCGCCCCAACAGAACGTCTCTATATTGTCCCGCTCTCTTCAGTCCAGTTCAGTTGACCACATGATTGCACATAGGCTCTTATCCCTTAATCACACGATCTCACCCATGTTACATTTGGACCTCTTCTCAACTCGTCTTTCTCCATAGGGGTTCCACTGGAGACCCTGGAAGGCAGTGTCCCACAACGGTCTCCTCAGTGTTTGTTCTATCCATCTCCGTCTTCATCTCGGATGAATATCTGATTCGTACGCATAATTTCTTATTACTTATTCTCTCCACTTGACACCTGATCTTTACCATGGAGCGAAGAGGTCAGCTGTTGACAAAAGCTGGCTGTTCGAAGTGTTGTTTGTGATGCTCACGCCAAGTGTCTGCCCCATATAGAAGACCTGACTGACTTTACATTGGTGTTGAAAACTCGAATTTTGTTGATTATAGTGATTGGAGAAGATTTCAGGTAGATTAATGCCTGTCTTGCCTTGTCCTGTCTTTCCAATCCCGGCTGGCTTTGACTAGATAAGCGAAGGAAGTGATGTTTGTCAAATTTTTTCCTTTCGAAGTGGTCGAAGGTTGTTGTTGTTGTCGGTTGGTTGTTTACTTTATTCACCTCTGTCTTGTCTATGTTCACTCGAAGTCCTGTCTTTGCTACCTCTTCTCACAACTATTTGGTTTTCTCCTAGAGATATTCGAGTTTGTGTGAAATTAAGCATAAATCGTACGCAATCTCCAGATCTTCTAATGTCTTCTTATCGATTCAACGTGTTCTCTCTCCACGGACGGTGTGACGCATAATCCAGTCCACCACAGTTAGGAATTCCATCGGTGATAATAGTTGGAATCGTCTTACTCCTATATTCACTTCAAACGCCTCACCAAGTTTTCTGTCGTAGATCCCCTGACACGTGGCATTATTGTCACATAGCTATTGAATGAGATTGAAAAAGATTTGGGGTGCTAAGTAGCATTGATATAATTTCCAAATTGCTTCGTGGTTAACGATGTCGATGGCCTTCACAGAGTCGATGAAATTGAGGTGGAGATTTGACTGTCATTCTATGCTCTTCACGATGATCATGATATGTAGGGCTACGATTTGAACTGCACGTGCATTCTGCTTGTTCGGGGCAGAGTTATGCGTCCAGTAAGTATTTTAGTCTCTCTAAAATGATGAAGTCTAATATTTTGCCCGGTGTGGATAATATGATCAATTCAAGCCGGTGATGCTGATATGATATCATTGATTCTGTTTTTATGCGCAGTTTAACCGACCATGCGTCACAGTAACGAAACAGGTTGACATTTTAAATCAATCTTGAATCACAGTTCATAATACAGAGATGGATGTATAGGTCGGAAAGCAAAAGTGTGGGATTCTGAACATTTTACTTTTCTGAACGCTAACAATGAAACATGTCACAGTTGAGGAATTTATGTCCCTTAAGAGTGCATATTCCGTGACCTTATTTATTTATTTTTAAGGTTATGTTTGATAGAGAAGGCTACAGCATTCTTCTACGTCAATGAACAAATTATCTAAATTCTAGTTCTTTAGTTTATCGCTCAAAAACTTGATGTCATTGCTTTTCCTGTATCTCTCTGGACTGACTTACTGAATTTCAACATAGGACTTTGCACACAAGTACACCACATCAGCTCGAGTTACCACACTCCATGTAGCACACATGCTCACCAACCATACATGTCATTCTGGGTTCGGTCCCCGAGTGGCACACACTTTTACCTCACTTAGTGGGTTGAAACCCCGACAAAGACGGAAGGTTGGATGTAGGGTCAGCAACCGCATTGCGTAAAAACATCACTGCTACTGAAACCTTGAGGCTGAGGCTTGAGGCCCTATTTTTCACTCGGGACGCAAAAGGAATTAAACTTTAAAAACTTTTAAAAAAGTAGCACACAAAGACAGAAAAAGGAGAGATAAAAAAGAGATTCAAAAAGAATATAATTGAGCAGAAATTTGAAGGAGAAGGTTTAATAACACGGTGAAAGATTAGGATATGGAAGACCACTAAGGTTAAATCGCGTCATTATTATTGTTTTCCGTGGATATATCACACACAGAGTGGAACAGTATTTTATTTACTGGATGGAGACATTTCAAACACAATCCATTGTTGATAATCATATCAGTCGTGACTTGACAGCTTTGAAATTTGCTTTTGATAGTTATAGTTATACGGTGAATCGCTAATTGAATCGTACCAAATAAAATCTTTGGCATGACAGGAGAATTTATTTTAGGATTTTCATCATGAGCTGAGATTTGTTAGAGAACCATTGGAAAACCTGGGAGTACTGGACAGCTGTTTCGTCCTAGTTTGGGACTCTTCATCAGTACGCACCCACCGGGATTCGAACCCAGGACCTTCGGGTTACAAGGCGAGCTCGTATACCATTAAGCCACTGGTACCCGATCCAATGGCCCATGAATTCTAACTTCTGCCAATTCACGACATAGCGCGACCCCCCCCCCCCCCAGCTGTATTATCACATTCATATACAACTATCCATGAGGGAGGATAGTGACAAAAGTGATGGGTTGTCACAAAAATAGTTGTTGCTTAATATTAGTTTGTACATAACAGGAGTTGAATAGGCGTAGCAGGGTTACGTAATAAGAAGGATAATTTTAACGGATGAGCTGTAATCAGGACGCGCATGGAGAAAACAAAAGAAAATATGGAATTCCGTAAGAGTACTTAGGAAGTACAGGAGTTATAAGGAGTTCTCTTAATGAAAAATTTATTTTCAGCGACACCATCTACAGATAGAAGGATGCTATTGCAATAGGATCGCCCTTGGTTCATTACTAGGAGAATGATACACAGCAAGTATCAAGAATGGTCCTTCACAGTCGACTATCAATAATTTGTAATTGTGTACATGGTACATGGATGGCATTTACATTATCGGAAACAATAGTTATGACCCCAGTCAGTTGCTGCAGATATTTAACACCTGCCATCCAGCAATAAAATCCACTACAAAATTGAAAGACGAATCCAAGGTACTCTTTCTTGATGTCGAACTAATAAGTGGACACAGCGAAACCTCGACAGTGTCAGTCTATAGGAAACCCACTTGGGACAGTCAACTAATCAGTTTCTGTAGTTGGGCGCCTGTTGAACAGAAACTAAATGTACTTATGCCCCTTGCCACTCGTATCCTACACATCTGTAGTTCAAACACCCTAGGAAGTGAATTAGATCTTCTGAAAGAAATCCGCATCCAAAATGCCTCCCCACCGAGATTCAGCGACAAGAATGTCAAACCAAACTTTCAGAGGAACGGAACATTACTTGTTCCAAGAAAGAGACTTTATATGAATCTAGATTCCAAGGGAGACTTAATCTACAATATCCTTAAGAGGAGAATAACAATCTTTCGCATCTGGCCATTTCTGTGTGTATATGAGTTCTTGTGGAGCCAAATATATTTGTTATTTGATGTATATCCTGTCTAAAGATGCTCAAGAATACTATCCCACATAGTTGTAGATAGACAACAGTGGCTCTGTTATGAGTGGGAGTATCGAACACCTTGTGAACACTGACCATTATATCTCAACAAACGCCTCCTTCAAAGTAATCTACAAAGTGAAGAGCAACCTGCCAAAAAAATGCTCTTTCGACCCCTTCGCATCGCTGAAGCTTTAGCCATTCAGATAGAGAAATCAGAGGTACTCATACAAAAGCAAATCATTCAACCACTTCTACTATCATGGTAACAACAGTGTTGATTTCTACGAACTGGATTTCTGTGAGTTTGTTTTACTAACTCCTTATGACTGTTGTATTTCTTTAGAACTTCCACGTAATTCCATATTTTCCTTCGTTACCCTGTGCATCCTGTTTACAACTCATTCATAAAATGACAAATCTCACTACGTAATTTTAATATACTTGTCCAACTGCTCTTATGCATTAACTAATATTAACAACAATGGTTATGACAACTCTGTTTGTTCTCTTTCATGAAAAAAACTGTGCATAAATGCAGTTGTACACCTTGGAACGAAAATGAATTCGCCTCTTGGCTGCCGTGCAAATAGGGTGGAACAACTGGAACCTTACGTAGAATTCTCAGCAAGGTAGAAATGAAAGTGACATTCAAACCCCGACAAACTAACTTGGAAGCAAATTATGTAGGTTAAAGGATCCTCTGGAGCCTATTTAAACAAAACAATTTTGTTAGTTATGATGGAGAATATTTGTAGCTCAGGTGGATGATTTTGATGTAGTTGTGTTCTCCGAGCTGAATGGTTTATTTGTGAAGCTTTCATTACCCCCACTAGGCAACATCTTCAGCGCATACTTCAATTTGAATTGAAGTGAGCTTAGAGATCTCTCCACGAGTTTATTAGTCATCTCTCCTGGTGGGCGACCTTGAACATGATTGGTTGTCTTTGTGTGTTCTCACACCATCTAGGCTACTTGTATTGGTACTGAAGTGTGCGCTGAAGATGTCACCTAGTAGAGCAATGAAAGCTTCGTAAATAAAGCATCCAGCTAGGAGAACACAACTACATCAAAATTGTATTAGTCTAATACCCAGATATAGGTGTGATTTCGAAGAAGTTGGAAAGGGTGAATTAGATTAACGGAGCAAAAGTCCAAGCAAAATCTAGACTAGCAGACTCTAATAATGTAAGAAGTTTAGAGGAAGGCACTACACACAGTTACACAATCAACCATACAACAGGAATGGGATAAGTTGACAGTCTTAATATCTGATGTAACTGCGTGGAGAGAGGCAGGGCATCAACCGAGTAGACGTGCAGCAGGGATGATTCGACACCTCTTCACCCGTACATCTGGAACATGCTTACTACCCTTACGACAAGTGGGAAGAAAGGATGCGAATCATGAAAATCAAGTTTTCGAAGTTGTGTAGTCACAGTGTTGATATGATTATGAACAATAAACAGTGTTCGAAATGTCATCCAGTAAATAATACTGTTTCCCTGTGTGATATATAGAATAAACACGTTGATAACGAATAATATGCTGCCACAGTGCCCAAGTTTAACACATAAATTTTAGTTATGGATGGTCTATACGAAGAAAACTTTCCACAGGTTAAGCAACTTAAAAATCGTGGAAAATACCCATCCAGATATTAGATTGAAAAGAACAAGAAGTTCAGCAAAGATATCTTTTCGGCGTTTTCATTCTCCACAGCTGTGCAATCGCATTTACATAGATTAGTTCACGTGGATACAATTATTATTTGTTTAGTTCCACATAGTAACGAAGGAGATAATAATTTTCAACTTGATATTAAAGTTTGAAGGTACAGGCTATCGGAATCGATGATCACGTGAAGACCAGAATCGGAAAGGCAAGGGAGATCCCCCATCACCATGAAATCAGTTATGCTCACACCATAAAGAAGAAGATTTGGATTTTCAACACCAATGATAAATCAGTCAGCGCTTCTCTATATGGATCAGAAAATTGGCGCCTGCATCACTAAAATCATTTCCAACAGGTTGCAGATTTTTCTCAACAACTGCCTTCGCTCCTTACTGAAGATCAGATGGCTGGTGGAAAGAATGAGCAAGAAGGAATTCCTGGAACAAACCTACTGGCCAAAAAAAAATATTCAGAAGAAACTGTAGATGGATTCGCCACACTCTGAGGAGCCCGCTGGGTGACGTCACGCACCAAGCCACGGCTAGAGTGAAACCCGAATGAGAAACGGCGGGTTGGGCGTCCCAGTGTGACATGGAGGAGACTATGCGGGAAGCAGATGAAAACCCGTGGACTGTAGACAACACGGTGTAATGGAGAATTTGAAAGTGACACAAATTCAAGATATTTAAAAGAAAAAAGAAGAAAACCAGTGACTCACTTTGAACACTCAACACATCTTTACTCTCTAGGACAACACAACCGGTTACAATTTGTCCACTGTAGCATACCGGCAGGACAGATTGATGCAAAACAATGTTTAAATAAATGCGTTGTTTCAAATCGCCTCTGTTGACATTTTTTCTGTATGTTAAGGATGTGTGCGACATTATTATTTCATGGAATAAAGAATAATTAAGTAAGTGAGATTGTTGTGTTTTAAAATTTGACCAGCTCAGAACACATAACACCTTTGTAAACACACTGTCATGATGAGAAAATGCTTTTCTCGTGATTTTATCGTCGTCAGTTCAATGAGATGATGAATACTGCCTACTCATGAGATGTGTGCACACTTGTCTGTGTAGGCAATATAGAGATTTCATGTACGATCAAGGATGTGAAGAGAGAGGCAAAGTGGGACCAGTGTATGCATATCACTCCACCAAATAAATATAGGTGATGGAAGTATTCAGCCGCAAATCGCCGATATCTTCAACTGTATATTAATTATTTACTGTGTATGAATTTGGATTTGACACCACTTTCGCAGATAATAAGTTGAGTGTTTTCATATATATATATATACCCAAGTTGATAAGCAAGTATTCCTATTGGTTATTGTGTATGCGTGAGTGTTTATCAAAGTGTGAGTAGCATACCTTTGACAGTATCACAGTTTGCTACAAATAGGATGAGATAATGTATCGAATTACTCTTGACTCATTGTGTTGTTGTTGTTTTTTTTTCACAAGGTGACAATGAAAACAAAAACCAAAAAGAAAACTAACATTTTTGCGCGGTATCTAATTGATGATGACGATGATGATGTTGATTATTCATCGTGTTGTCACTGAGTGCCAGAGTAAAATAACAAAACAAAACAAACAACCGTTGTACAGTTTGCTGAGCAACGACATTTTGCAACATAGAACACCAAAGTCCTACCTACACATAGTCGTGTGTTACAACAACTCTCTGTCTAACCTGGATGTGTGTTGTGTTTTATTATGTGTAGCACTGGCAATACAGTAATAACTTTTGGCTGTCTATACTAACCAGTACAGTGTCATGTATATTTATGTTAAAAATTATCAAACATGCACAGGTCTAATATTACCACTCATGTTATAGTTTAAACACTGTCATAAACACACTAACACACACACAGAGACACACACGCGTGTGCGCTTACTGGTCACTGAACAATAATAACACCTTATAAATTTATAGAGAGAGTTCACACATACACTAACCAAAAACAACATGAACAATCACTCATGTCCTTATTTTTATTGACTTTTGCACAGATCAATGCCAACCAATTGGTAAAAAGTGAGCACGTTAGCTATTTGGAAACCTGTCCAAATGATTGAAACTGTGGCCAAATTTGGTTACTTCTGTTTGCGTTGTGCGTGTGCGTGTGCGTGTATGCTATAAAGTGACAGATGAGTGTAGGCTATCTGATGACTTTTTGAACTTTCTTCAGATAAACGTGTTTTCTCTTGGAAACAGTCAGTGTTACTGTGATGATGGTATGCTACTTATTTCACACCTGTGGAGTAGTATAGAAAGGTGGTGAATTTATTGGGTGGTCTTTTGCTTAGGTGGCTTTTATCCGTTTCAGGTCATTCAAAATTGTTAAGTGAACATATCTCTAAAAATAAAGTGGAATGAAAGCATTGTGTTACCAATACTATAGTCTACAAAAGATTAAAGTGTCAGGCGTGCGAGAAATTCTGCCTTCTGGAAAGGTTCTTCGATAAATATAAACACTCCTGTTATTCAACTAGCATAAAGGAAGAGCCGCTTGAATGTAGGTCTTCGCACAGAAGTCCATCAGGTTAAATTATCGAGAATTAGAAACAGTTTATAGACAAAAGAAACAGATCTATGAGAGAAAAAAGAACAGCTTATTGAAGGGTTGTGAAAATACTCAGGGCTAGGAGAATTATTATTTCCTTTGGGTTGTGAGTGGAAAACTGGGCTTCAGCAGCACTTCTTCACTTTGTGCTGTACTCTTCAGTCCCCCTTATCTGATCCCACAATTATCCATAGGCTGTCACCCCTTGCTTACATGAAATCCTCCATGTCACTGTTGGACGTCCAGCCAGTTGTTTCCCCTTTGGGCTATGGCCCGGAGCGTGGTGTCGCTCAACGGTCTACTCAGTATGTGTCTGACCCATATCCATTTTCTTCTATATATTTGTCGTTTGGACGATTGCTTTTTGGATGAATCGTTCCAAGAGTTTCTTGGTGCTCATTCTTTCCACCGACCATCTGCTCTCTAATATGGAGTCAGTGGACGCAGATGCTGATGAAGGTCTTCAGTGATCTACTGGAAATGCTTTTCGTGACGTCCACATCAAGTTTCTGGCACATATAGAAGAAGCGACTAACTTCACATAAGCGTTGAAAATCCCGATTTTTTTGTTTATGATACAGAGTGGCGTAGATTATCAAACGGTTTTCAGAGGGATGAAGGTATGCCTTGCCTTACCAATCTTGCCTCATTTTGCTATTCTTATCCCTGGCTCTATCCATAGTTGAAACGATGCTTCCTAGGTAAATGAAGGCAGTGATCTCTTCAGAGTTTCTCCCTCTGACAGTGGTTAGGGTACGTGTTGTTGGTGGTGGTTGGTTATCTTCATCATTTTCGTCTTCTTTATGTTCCCTTGAAGTCCTGTCTTCACTGCCAGCCTCTTCTGGCGAATTGTTGGTTTTCACCTGTAAGTCTTTGAATTTAGGTGACAGACACAAATTATCAGCAAAGTTCAGAACTTCCAGAGTCTTCTTTTAGATCCAACATATTCCTATCTTCTCACTCCCTACGTATTGTGTTTCCGCATAATCCAATCCACCACAATCAGGAATATCATCGTGGATGATAGTAGGTCGTCTTGTTTTACTCCTGTCTTCAGTTTAAAGTCTTCGATGAGTTTTTCATTGGGGATCCCTTAAAATGTGGCTTTATCATTTAGCTGCTGAATGAGACTGATAAAGATTTGGCGTACTGTTCTCCAAGGAGTTCAAGTAGTTTCCAAATTACTTTCCGGTCAATATTGAGCTGTTGAGGGTATTTCCAAATTCGATGAAGTTGAGGTAGAGATTTGACTGCCATTCTATGCTTTGTTCGATGAAGATGCGTAGTTTCGCAATTTGATCTGCATTTGATTTGACTTCCCTGAATCCGGCTTGTTTCGGGCAGAGTTCTGCACTTTTTAATGTCTTCAGGATGACGTGACTTAATAGTTTGCTTGCCGTGGACAAGAGCATAATTCTGCGCCAGTTCTCGCAGAGTTCTTAGTCACCGTTCTTTGGTAGTTTGCTATGGTAGACCTTCCTCGAATCACTAGGCACCTATCCTTGATATATGAAGCACATGTTCCAGATAACCGAAAGTGTCAAGACTCACCACTTGTGTAACCTACTGATGTTATGCTCTATATCTACCCAACGCGAGGAATAGAACGAAGGTAGCCAAAGCACGAAGTGTAACTTTTTCATATATCCTAATTTCAGCAGTCTTTTTTTCTCCGCAAGCAGTGCAAAGTGCTAGAAGAAAACAGCGAATAAAACTGCCCACACCACATAAATTGTGCGGGATTCTGATGCTCTACATGGAGCGAAATCATCCTGACAGGTAATTATAAGAGCGAAAGAGAATGAACAATGCGTAAAGGTAGTTCCAAAAACCTGTGCAGATTTGAAGAAGCTATAAAAATACACAGCAATTGCACTTCACTCGATAGAAATTAGACGCCATAATCGACTTTCACTGGACTAAGGTTCTACAGAAAGGCTTTGGTTCATATAAATAAAGACCGATTGCAGAAGCACTACATATTTTGGTGGGATCCAAAAGCTTGAACAGGTGTTACACTGTGATGTTAGGTGATGCATGATAAGTCCTGAATAATAAATAAAAAATGGATATGTATCAGGAATTTATCATACTTACTCTAATTTCCCCGATTATGTACTTCTTATTATGGAAGGGCTAACAAATGATCTAGAGCTGTTCTCTGAAGAACTCAGACGCACACGTTATTGTATTTCGGACACATGACCATGGGCATTAGTGGAACGTAATCACTAAAATCTGATGCAAAGTGCATATTGTTTACAGTGCATATCAGAAACAGACTAATAATTGTAAGTTCATCACAGTTCATAGAATTTTGTTTATTTCTTGTCATGGTGTATGTAAATGAATCACATGACTGGACAAGAATTTTAAATATAAGGTGTGTCTTTTCCTCGAAGAAGTTCGGAGTTGTTTATCGAACGAAACCTTGGAATTGTTTATTCGTTTCAATTTCGCTGAGATTTCACAAATATAATTCTTATTTATGTCTACTTCTCACTCGGGACCCAATTACTCTGGAACTATCCTGTCAAATAGTGGTGGCACTTCATATAAAGTGCAACCGTTTGTTAAAATCCGAAGTGCCACTAGGTATAATGAAGAATGAACTGATATTTCATTATCGAATATCTTCAGAAAAAGTATTCATAAACAGACACTCATCATCTTCCTAAAGAAAACGAATGATGTTTGTGGTAATTGATGGTTCTGACGAAATAACCGTTGACAAAAATAGGTGTTTTTTGTTGAACTTAACATGACCAGAGACAACCTGAATGAAAGGTGAGTGGGTTTTAAAACGGAAACCTTATTTTCCCAATTGCTGTGGTTTGAAATGTATTTTTGATAGAGTACAGACTTATTTCCAACAGCCACCCTCTTCTTACCACTCAGAAGATCAGACAGCCGATTGGAAACGACAAGCAACAACTAACCGCACCGAACTGAGAACCAGTTAGCAAGCTATTGTTAATTATTATTATTTTTTATTTTACTCCTTTACGCTCCCATTGGAACATATGGCTCCAGGCTAGAGCTCTGAAGTTTCGGTACCAATGGTGTTTATTACTTTTACGGGATGAAGCTAGGTAGTTAGCCTCATGCACAACCTCCCCTCTGTACCAGTCTTATTGCTGGCTTAGCGAGGTAAGGGAATGTGTTGGCCGGGAATCGAACCCCGAATCACCTGGGTGGTTGGCGAGAATTCTACCTCTGTGCCACTGACGCACTAGGTAAAATTAAACGGAGAAGCGATTGATATACAAATAGGTGACATTGAAATGATACATCACACGCTGGGCAAACACTCAATTGGAAATGGAATCCAAAGCAGTGGATTAAATTATGTGGATTATTACATAAAGATCATATTAGATGAAAATCAAAGCCTATGGGCAGTTATGTAGCTAGTTAACTGGAACCGATATCAGAAAACGAAGTGGAATGGAGATGAACCATTGAAGACGTATTTTCCACTTGGAACTCAAGGAACGAATAACAACAGTATATCCAATATGTATAATGTATCCATTTTGAAGATGACTTTTACACCGTCTAACAGGATTGGCCGATAAGCCGCTCTGCATGCTGTTTCAATAACAACGATAATTTGCTTTGTTCCATACCAGTATATATGATACAGTATTTGGTACAATATTGGGTGCAGTTTACTCAACGACAAAAAAGTTACATGTTATAGGTAACCAAAATTGATAATAACAGCTTTTCGATATTATCAGTGACAATAAAGTCGAAAATGAAC